CAGGAGATGGTTAGCTCTGGTATTCTGGAATGTTGATCTAGTTTTGATATGTTTAACATCTATATTCCTAATTTTCAAGAAGAACTAAAATTTGTATTTTTTAAAGGTTGTGTTAATTTTAAAAGTTAAAATCTGTGTAATTATTTATATCTTTAGTCCTCTAGATATTATTTTGTTGTGTCTGCTCTCAGGTTACTTTGAATTCTCTCTGAAATATTATGCCTGCTTGAATTTTAATTTTCTTTTTTTTGTTGTTTTTTTTCCGGTATCGGGAATAGAACTCAGGACCTCGCGCTTGCCAGGCAGGCACTGTGCCCTTGAGCTAAATCCCCAGCCCCTGAATTTTAATTTTCAAAAGATCATTCACTTCTTCATTTCCAGCTCAGTCACCTAGAGGGATAATATCAAAAATGTTCAAATAGACTCCAACAAATTATTCACTTACTAAAACCTAAAACTTCACAATTAGTGTAAGACATATATAAATCTATATAAATTGCATACTTATCTAGAATGTATAATATTTTAAAGTGTCTCATAATATACTGCTTAGAACCTAAATCTATATCAGATTTATCCAGTCTTTATTTTGCATGGAATACATTTTGTAAATGAAGTAGGAGGAAAACTTAAATGGAATTTTTCTAAACACACATTTTGTGTGCTTTCTAGTTTCCATGCTATCATTTCTTTATTCTTATTTTTATGAAGAGCTGGGGTAAACTAGAAGAAATATATTTGAAGGGCCGGGGATATAGCTCAGTGGCATAAGCACCTGCCTGGCAAGTGCAAGGTCCTGAGTTTGATTCCCAGTACCAAAAAAACATAACTAAATAAAAGAGAGAGAAATAAGTTTGAAATAAGTTAAAAATAAGAACATGCTAAAAAACTTAAAAAAGAAAAAGAAAACAAAGCAAACAAGAAAGTAACAAGATTGAATATCACATCCATAATTCAAAGATAAATTTGGTCTTTTTACTCAGACTTATTTTTAGTTATTCTTTTTCCCTTAATAGAAGTTTGTTCTAGGTTGACATAGTCCTGAAATAGACCACTGTAGTCTTATACATTTGTCAGACAAATAATATTTTCATCAAAGTAAATCACAGTAAAAGGGTCAGAAATTTCACCTCTTACACATCCTTGTATTACATACATGCTTTTCTTTATTTTCATTGAATTTCATCATTGACATATGAATAACTAAATTGGAATATATATCTACATATTTTATAGCATTATTAATTCAATACAATTTACTAATATTTAGAAATTTTGTGGTCAGATTTTTATTTACATACTCTGGTTTGTAAGAATTTAATCTTATGTGATCCACAATAATACAGCACACATACACTTTCTTGATAGTGAATACATCTTTATTTTCATAGAATTATATAAAGAAATCATTACCTTTGGTGCAATGAGCCAATTTTTAAAAAATTCTTACATGTACAGCAATACAAAAAAATTTCAAAAATCAAATATAATATGCTCTAGCACTCCAACCTACCCTGTGTTGACTATATTTTCTTAAAATATATTGCTAACTATACTAATTTGTTACCAAGAAAACAGAATTTCCATAGTTGAAATGCACAAACTCCACACTTTTATAATTCCTCTTTACTATTTTAAAACAATTACTTTCATCTTTAGTTGAGTGAATCTTGAATTGTGACAGATCCTTTACCAAAGCAATACCTTACAAAATTCATAATTTAAAATATTGTTTCCCAGTTATACCATAATTGAGCTGAAAACTTTTCTGTAAGATTTAAATGTTCACTAATTTGACTTATATATCTTAACAAAGGAGAATCGCTTAAGCCCTAAACTTCTTCCTGTGTATTTAGAGAGCTCATTGCTTAAGAAACCATCTGTTTAAAGCAAGCATTAAATGCACCTTTTACTTAGGGCAGCAATATGAACAATGTCATTTGTTGTCAGGGCAACCACAGGATCCTCCTGCCTCTTAAACACAACATACCTGATTTTCACGTCTAGTTCACCAGGTTAGCTGTCCTGTGAGCTAGCCAAGGGATCCAATAAAAGTTTTATATTCCTGATTTCTTTCCAGTCTGGTGTGCTTGTTTTGTTTTCAGTCTTTCTGAGAGTGGGTGATTAAAATTTCCTGTTCTTGATTCCTATGTTATTCTCCATCTCCACGGCATGAACCCCAGTTTAATGTTTCTATGTTCCCATTTTGGTTTATTTGACTGATTTAGTGCATCTCCATAAATTATGTTTGGAATATGAAGACTCAATAGCAATGTCATCTCTTCACTCTCCAACCAGCATGAGTTCAGTGAGTTTCTTTTGTAGGGGTGGCTCTAATCACAATCCTGGTCAAGTAGGAGCCATCAATAGGAATTACTTCATTTTATTTCACTACAAAGGATGAGTTTTTTATCTGGCCACAGGTCCCGTATGATTAAGATCTTGCTCTTTCCAGTGTTCTGTGGCTATACTTGCCCTTTCCTAACACCTTCTTCATCATCTTTTCCTCCCTTTCTTTTCTTTCCTTCTTGTTTTTGTTCTGTAATTCTCTCTTTAATTTTAAGGACCTGCGAGTGTTGAGTGTGTGGTGGGTCACTGAGGATGAACATTTAGCCTCTGCATTATCTTGCTCCTGGACAATCATCGCTTCAGTGATGATATCATGATGATAGGGTGTGACTGTCCTTTAACTTATATTTTATCTCATATTCCAAAGACTTTAGTTGCTACTAGACTGACAGTAATTATTCCTTTGTCCTTGATCAAGAAACCAGAAAACAAACATGTAGATCTAAATGACATTGCAAATCATCAACGTCTCATCTATTTAGCATGAAAGTAAGATTTTTTTTTGCCTTTCCTCTAACACATGTTCTTCAGACCTGGAATGGGACCTACATTTTATTTGTTCTCATATAGCATTTCCCTTTAGTAGAATCCTCACCAGCTCATTTACCAAAATAAAATGTAACACTAAATCAAACTTCTGACTGCCTTAGAAGTGTGAGGAATAGATATTCTTAATTGTCAGTGGTCCAGATGCATAGACTGTAAAGATAATCAGTCCAATTTTAGCCTGAAGTAAGATGACAGTTCTCACTTCTAAAACCTTAGGATTTTGCATGAACTATATCATATTTTGACAGAGGTACCATTAGGAGTTTTAAAAATCAGATAAATAAGTGGAAAAAAGAAAGAAAGAGCAAAAAGTCAGGCAAATATGTTTACATCTGATAAAGGGAAAACAGTTAATTTTCTATAGCCATGCTAAATAACTGATATTTGGATGCTAAAGTTATCACAATTTTTAACATGCTAAAGATTTGTTCTAGTGGTATTAGAAAATGATAAACATGCTACAACAGACCCTAAACAACTTATAATGGCAATTTTACAATCATCTTCCATGTTTATAAAGTTATGATTTACACAGACATGTACATATTTGGTGATATATATTTACCTTTAAATGATCCCAAACTGAAAAAGATACATTTAATTTAAATGATACATTTAAAATTATTTTCTGGTTTATCTGTGACAAATCTTTATACTCTTACTATCCATAGATATTATTTATAGGATGTTTCTAGAACCCCTTGTGTTACAGAGTACTTTGCATTTAATTCAGATGATTGTGATACCTATCTACTAGGTACTTGGATAACATTTATTGTCAGAGTTGACAAAGTAACATAAAATTTTATGGTTTCAGCTCTAAATCAGTTGTGATAAAGGTCTGTGAATGTTGTCTTTGGTGTGAGCCATATTTCTCCTCTTGGAAATCAGTAATCACATAGCTGTTTTTCAAACCTGTTATTTTGACCTTTCATGCTCTTTATAAGATATTCAGTTTCTTCTCACTTAATTCAAGCAGATTACTTAATACAGTCCCTTTCACTTGAACAAGGAACTCTCACTTTTTAAAATACCGTAACTTCCCTCATTCCCAGGTGTTCACATTCACCGACTACATGTCTAATTGTAATCCTTCAAATAATTGTTTCTGTATTTGATATAGTGCCACTGAAAATCTCCCCTCATATTTGGCTATGCACAATAAACCTGACAATGTCAAATAAATTACAGTAGTAGTTCATACTGAAAGTGAACAAATTAATCGAAGGGCAGAAAAAATATGCCATTTTCTTTGCTATCTGTTCCTAATGAATCATTTAACCTTTATCTCATGATTCTGTAAAATATAACGTTTGTTAGAAAATTCATGCTATTGGACAGGCACTGCAACAGAGCTGGAGACATGAAATGGTAGCTCTCTGTGTAGCATTTTTAAATTCATAATTCAAATTGTGTGTGAGGACCAATCTGTATGTGCCTACATTGGTACAACTAACTCACATAACAATAAACCCTAATATGTTTTTCTCTGATAATATGTGTTCCAGCTAGGTAACTTAAGGGTGAACAATTCTATTCCTGGGCAAATCTTCAAAAGAAATTAGCATTCCTGCCCACTGAAAGACACGAGCAAAGATATTCATTAGTTTAATAGACCAAAACTGAAAACAATGCAAATGAATATCAGTAGAATAGTAAACAAATTGGTCATATATTTATACAATAATATCCTTCCCAACAATATGGATTTCATACACATGACATTGTGCTCAGGGAGTCAGTAATAGAAAAGTGAGTCTCTATTTATATGGGTGCATTTAAGTAATCTCTGCGACTAGATATGAGAAGTATAGTTATTCTCAGGGGAATACTGACTGGGAACTGTCACAGGAGAACCTCCTGTGGTTCCAGAAATGTTCTAATGGGATAGTGATAGAGTGGTGCCACTATAGGTACAATTCTAATGATTTATCTAATTAAGGATCATAATATATATATGCAATAAGAATAAACAATATTTTTGAAATCATTGTAACAGTTACTATTTAGCAAATTTAGTAGGATTACCCCACAATCTCATGGATACAGAAGACTACATTGTTTTCTTTGAAAATACTGTTGTGTGCTATTTTTTCTTTTAGTGTCCTGAATTTAAAAGGCCCAGGGACATCGCAGTAGACTGGGTTGCTGGAAATATTTATTGGACTGATCATTCCAGAATGCACTGGTTCAGTTACTACACCACACCCTGGGCAAACCTGAGGTACTCCGTCAATGTGGGGCAGCTGAACGGCTCTAACTGTACCCGTCTTCTAACAAACATGGCTGGAGAGCCCTATGCTATTGCAGTTCACCCGAAAAGAGGGTAGGTCCATGGCTTGGCACTTTTATTCCTTCATATGAAAATATTTTAGAGATTGTGCTTTGTCATTTTATTAGATGTGTTCAAAATCTAATAAAGTCACAAGTCTTGTAAATATTCCTATATTTTGCATTCTGTACAAAAATATTTCATTTGCTTTCCCAAAAGGTTGTTGAATTATACATTCAGTGTATGTGCCTCTACATATGTTTATATTTATAAATTGGAAAAGAAAAAGACTGATGTGATAAACACGTAAATACTACTGGTAATCTATAATTGGATTTTCTTAATATTAAACATTAAATGTAGTACATTAATGTCTTTGGTTATTTGTAATAGTAAAAGATAAGGACATATATATAAATATAAAAATTTAATACAAACATTTCCTTTAAATTGCTTAAAGAGAAAACGCTACAAGCAATGACAAAAACAGAATAGGGAAATATTAAATAAAGCTTTTAGTCATCCACAAAATCATTAGGTCCTGAGGTAAGAGAGGCAACTTCAGTTACAAGAATTACAGAATGTGGTATCTTTTAAATGAGAAAATGATTTTTTTTAACAGTTAATTCTTTATCTAAAAAGCATATAGTTGTAGAATCCATAATAAAATGTATATTGTTTTATAACAAGAAGTTGGTCTCAAATAGTGAAAAAACTTTTCTTCCAAGGTTTTAATGGGATTTTCAAAATTGAATTTTGTACTTCAAATAAGGATCTACAGTGTAGCCTATTAAACAATGCTTCCCAAATTTTAGTGATTTTATGTAAGACTTTTTAAAATGTTGATGCACAAGGCCTCATTTTAGGATCTTCTTATTTTTGTAAACTGGGTCCGGTACTTTGCGCATTACGGGACCCTAGAGAGAGTCTTTTGCACATGGTGCCATGAGACCCTGCTTTGGGGAGCAGAGATGGTTATACCTGCACTGTTCCTCAGCTAACATCCTTGATCGCCTTTCTCCAGGATGATGTACTGGACTGTCATTGGGGATCACTCCCACATAGAGGAAGCTGCCATGGATGGTACTCTGCGAAGGATTTTAGTACAAAAGAACTTACAAAGACCCACAGGTATGTCATGTTTCTGACAATGAACTACAGTATAGAGCAGGATGCTAAGCACATAGCAATTCTACATTCCTTGGCAATACAATCATTTTTACAAGTGGATAAAATAATTTATAGTATGATTTTATGAACCTCATTGACATTTCATGTTGTATTTTCTGAATTTGAAAGTCAAGTCATCTGCCAGTTACATTATAGGAGTGTTATCTGAAAACTCTCCAAGTATTAGTAGGATTTCACATGCATAAATATTTTGATGGTTTATAGCAATGTGTTAAGATACTTATACAGATACATTTTAAGGTTACTGGGATAGAAGGTAATAATACTAGAAGATGAAAGAGGACATGGACAAAGAGGTTGCAAGATATAAAGAATTTCTGTGAAAGACAGGTTTTGTGAGTCCTTTCCTTTTTCTTCTGAGCTCTTCACTCTGGCTTCAGTTTTCTTCCCAGGCAAGCTACATAAGCTGTTGAGCCAGAAACTCTGAACTCAGGGCTCCTTGAAAGCTCGATTATTCTCTGTTTTTATTCTCCCACGTCATTTCCCTCAGAGTTCCTCCAGCTAGAATGCCCGCCCTGTGTTTCTCCACCTCCTGAATCTTTCCCATCTTGCAAGGTCTAACTGTAGCACTTTTTCAATAATAAAACATCTGCAGATTCCAGGAGCCTCAGGAATCCTGTGCCACACATCCCATTTCCTACATCCTTGATAGGAGAATGGAAGCATTGTCTATATACACAGTCTGCATTATTTAATATTGTGCTTTATAATAACTTTTTCAGTTCAAATTTATTTTTATTTGCATATATTCTCATTAAATTTTAACATGTCTTATATTTTGCTATTTGACTAAATTTATTTTTACTCTTCATGAGAAGGAGAAACTTTTGGGAATTATTTCATTTGCATAAGCATGTCTTTATTCATGGGTGGGACAAATAAAAATGAAACACCTATCTTATGCCAGAAATAGTTCCAGATACAGAACTAAAGAAACATATTCTTGTCAAGCAAAACACTCCTACAATTTATCTTCTAGAAGATAAATGATGCATTTAAATAATGTCACACAGTTATTAGTACTATGTAACAATGCATTCATTGTTAGAGATGAACAGTTATTAGGGATACCTTACAGTTATGATTCTCAAAGAAGTGATCACTAGAAAGATGATACTTAAGGAGGGACCTGAATAAAGAGAAGTAGCCAGCTCTGTACATTCTTGAGGAACGAGCTTTATATAGAGACAGAATAAAAAATTCTCAGTTAAGAATGTGCTTAATGTGTCAAGAACAGCAAGAAGCTTACTTTGCCTCAGAGCATGTAAGCAGTTCAGGATAGTGCCAGTATGAAGGTGGCAGTGTGACCAGGTTCTGATAATTACCGGGTTCTGGTCTACCTTGAAAGGAAGCCCCAGGAGTGTACGAGGGAGGTAAGCAGCATAATCTGATCAAATGCAATTTTCATTTTGTAAGCACTTTGCATTTATTTTTTTAACTTTTAGCTTTTAGCTAATTTTAGCCTTGCAGAAAGTTGTAAGATTAGTTAAAAAAAAAAAAGTTCTGATTTAACATTTTGCATAATCGTAGTATATATACCACATTTTCTTTTCAAACGAAGGCTTTGGCAGCAGTTTGTAGAGTTTGCTGTAGTAGGGTATTCTGGAGGACGCCTGAGGTGAGAATTCTTGCAAAGTTTATTTATGAAGAGAGTGCTATTCAGGAAAAATGTGTAAAACATGGAAAAAGAAAGGAAAGAGCTGACCAAAACTGTGTCTCATGCAAAATCCAGTTCTGGCTTGAGGCTTCAGGTATTTGCTTAAGAACATAAATAACATGTCAGACAAGAGTGTCTATTTTCATGCACCCCATCAGTGATTCATTGGCTTTTGGGCTGTAACTTCCCAAGCAAGTCTGCTCCAATCAATGGAGTACAATTGTCTGAACAAGGAGATTAAGTGTGAAGCTGCAGCTGCTAAAGCAGCTATTGGGGGGATGGGCAGTGCTGCCTATAAAAGGAGTCTGGGCAGGCACCATAGTGCACAGCACCTCTTACAGGGGACCCTGTGAAGGACTCCTGTACTGAACATCTATGGATCACCACTTTGCTCAGCAGTGCAGGTAACTTCCACATGCACCTGGTACCATCCCATTTCTCAGGAAGTCTGCATTTAAGAATGGAAAAAAAGCAATTACAACTAAGTGCAGTTTTTCCCAAAAGAGATAATTAGTTCATGATTTATAATGTCATTGGAGTTCAAATGTAAGAGAGTATGTCTAATAAAGAAAAAGCTTGTGGGAAAAAATGTTGTTAAAAATTTCACATGATCACATGCTAGAAGGAAAGGCCAGCATTGGAAGGGTAGACGTTTAATCCAATGTGAGGATGTTTTTATAAAGATGTTTTTAGAGTTACTAACACCTGCACTTGAAACCCAAGGAATCACTTGCTAGCTGTGAGACCTCAAAATGAAACTCCTATTTATCTACAGATTTTGTTTTAATCATTAACAAGCACCAAAACAATAAAAAACAACATAATGCTGTATCTATAAAATAAGACAATGCCCTGAGCCATGAGTTTTATTTGCTGATGTCAACACTGAGTGCTTACCTAGAAAGGGACATGTTGTATAAGGTAATAAGAGATCAAAATAGAGACTCTTCAATACCCTTGTAATTAGACTGCGCTTGTTAGCTAGTAATGAAGTTCAGTGCAGTTTTGACTCAAGTGGTGATTTGAATAGGATATATCTTCTGGAATATTCCTTTGGCAGACTGGTCTAATGTAATGAGTAGACACAGAAAAGAAAACTAGGTAATTGCCATTAATAGTTCTTTATTAGAGAAAAGAGTAATAGAAAAGTGTCAGAGAGCTAGAAAGGGGAAAATATATACATGAAACAAAATAGGGTTGCCATAGTGGAAATTAAGAGTGCTTATGAGAATAGAAGAGCTAGGGAAAATGTATCTTAGAGGGATAAGAGGTCAATAATTTAAAAGCACTCATATATTTTCTATTTTCCTTCCTTCTTTCTTTCCTTCTCCCTCTGTAAAAAATTTTGAAGGGTCACTAAATGCCACTTACTAATCTTTGTCAGAATTAGCAGCCAAAGCAGACGCTGTCTTTAATTACTGAATTGTTAAGATGGATGAGGGGTGGCACAATAAGATTTAAAAGGTAGAATCTTGTGAGGTGTTTATTTTTAGAAAAGTCAAGAGGAAAGAATGAAGACTCCAAGTGTATCAAGCAATGGTACACTAGATATTTACTGTCCCCACAGCCCAAAGGAGTTTCAAAAGGTGGGCGCTCTGCACTGCCGGCCTCGCCCAGGGCCTCAGGTGAAAGGCACCGGGGCAGGGGGAAGAGGGCCTCCCACTTACACAGGTTCAAATTTAAATGGCAAAACCCGAGTATGCTCTAGAGCATCAGTTTTCTTATTTGTGAAATGAATATGACAATGTTTACCTCAAAACACGCGATTTTAATGACTCATTTAAATCAGACATTGAAACCAAAATGAATTTTGTGAGGTATGTCAGGGCTAATAATAAATTATAAGAATAATGCATCATGTGCCAGTGCAAGACACTGAATAACTTTGTCATGTATGGTTCATCATCATTTTCTAACACTGGTACTTTTTAACCACATTTTAATATTTTCTTTAGTATGTTTTGTTAGTTCAATTCATCTTCTCATCCTGTATCGATTTTAATTCTCTTCTTAAAAAAAGAAATCCAGAAATCATGTGTAAAATTCTGTCACTTTATCTCAAAGCCACTTGCTTCATAATTGATATAAAATTTTAAATATCTTTTATCAACACAATATATGTGCACATATTTATAAAGTACAGTGTATGAAGTGATGTCAGTGACAAAGAGATTTAAGAATTTGCATAGAAGTCGAAGGGGATGTCTCCGATGCAGTGTGGCGCCTGCCTGTAACTCTAGCTCTGTGAGAAGCCAAACCAGGAAGATGGAAAGTGTGGGGCCGGCCTCCACTACTGAGACCCTGCCTCACAATCATATAAAAGGGGTTGGAGATGCGGCTCAGTGGTATTGCATTTGTCTAATGAGGATGTAGTTTCCTTTTCCAGCAGCAGAAATTTAAAAAAAACAAGAAAGTAAAATAGTGGTTCCTAGAGTTTAAGGAAAATGGGAAGGAGGAGGAGAATTCTGCCTGTGTGTACAATGCTATCATTTGTTAAGGAGAATCAATGTTGGTGTTTTTGGTGTTTTGATAGCACAGCATGAATTTTTTTTTTTTTTTTTTGACCCAGAGCCTTCACAGTTAGCTACATCCCTAGCATTTTTAAAATATTTTGAGCAGAGTCTTGAGATTCTAACAGTCTTACCCCCTGCCTCAATCTGCCTGGGTGCTGGGATTACAAGTCAGGCGCCGGGGGCTGGGGATTTAGCTCAGCGGCAAAGCGCCTGCCTGGCAAGCGCAAGGTCATGAGTTCGGTTCCCGGTACCGGAGAAAAACAAAACAAAACAAAAAACAAACAAGTCAGGCGCCAACACAGGCTTAGAAAGTATTTTTTCAAATGAAATAAAAATCTCTCTTGATGTTATCTCTACAGTAGTTAATAACTCTTTGATATATTTAAAGCCAAATATTACTGTTACATATGAGTCAAAACACATCCCAGGAAATTTTTAGAAAGCAATGCATAATTTTATTTTCCCAAGTAGCATATTACTAGAAAATGAAAATTTAAAAATTGACCATCAGTAAGTCATTCTGCATTTACATGCACATGTACACTTTATGAATGCAGAGAAAAGTACACTTAAGCAAGTACACTCTGTATATCTTTACATGGGAGTATGTTCACCGCTGAAGCATCCTCTCTGGTAATATCTTAGGCTAATATCAATTTTCTATATTTTTCTTGGTATGTATTAATAGTGCTCTGAATTTAAGATATCATTTTAAAATCAGTGACTTCAAGTATTCTTCAGTTTATCGCCAAATGCGAAACGTGGTGCTTTATGTTGCAGTTTTAAAGGAAATGCTGTCTTTCTCTTATTCGTCCATGGCTGAATATATGCCCAGTACTTCTGGTTACGCCCCATACAGGGTGCCAAGAGTATCGGCATAAGCGGCCAGTAGGAATAGATGCGAAGCTATCTCTTTCTTTTTCAATGCTTATGCGCTCCAGCGTTAAACTTACACTATCTCTTCAAGTAGTCCACAACCAGCATCAGCACTGCAAACTCACCACATCCTAAGGTTACCTCTTTCTCCAGAGTTTTGTTTCACATTCTCTCCATGCTTCGTGCTCCACTAGCTGTGACTTTGGTGACATAGTGGTCACTAACTCTTTATATTCTGTGTGCCTAAGACCATAAATGTTTTAAGCCAAAACCCATTCTTAACATTGCTGCTATATCCTGTGCTACATATTATAGTGTCAGTAGTTAGTGTGCCCTTAAAAACTATTATATGTTGACCTAATGAGTATGTGGCTGCTTACAACTTTTAACACTGTAATCAGTGGCATATTTTGAAGGCTTCCTTTAATATATGCCATGCTCGTCTATTTGCTTCATTTAAATAGGGCTCTGTAACAAACACAAGTACAATAAATATTTCTCATCCCAGCGTGTAGTGGTTGAGCACCATATGTGCTATGAGAACAGGAAAGGTTTTGTCCATTGCTCTGTGCCTAGCGTCAGGCGGTGAGTGGTACAAGGAAAGAGTCCCAGGAGTACAGGGTGAATCAATGAGTGTTGTGTCATAAAAGGACACTTTCCAGGTGATCTTTTAGCATGAAAGTGTAGTACTACATCGGATTGACCTAAATATCATAACCGTTCACTGGTTTTTAAGCCTCTAAAATCTCTGGATGGCTCTTTTATGTTGCCTCGTGTCTCTCCCAAATTGCAGCAATTTTAGGGAGAAGAGGTACAGTACATGGGCCACAAATCAGTCATAATTATTTAATAAGAATATCTTTGTTTTTGCTTAACAAAATAGATCTAAATAAATAATGAATGCATATTTCAGGACTATTTTGCTACTTTTTGGTGCATTTATTTTACTATGTCATAAATATGTATGTAGAAAAAAAAGTCTCTAAATGTCCATATGAAAATAATTTTAGTGTAGTTTGGAATCTGAGTAGCAAACCTATCACAAAAATACCCTTCACAAGTTTTGAAACTAATTTCATACAGTGTTAAGTATGTTCAGTGTTTTGAGCTGCTCTGTATAACTTTTGAGGCAAGAACGTGGCTGTGCTCACTTTTTTTGTTATTGTGCAAATCTTGCCTTTTGCATACAACCAATATATACGAACCCTTTCTCTATTTCAGAAAACATGGTAATTTGAATTTGTTGTGTCTAAGTCTTCCTTTGAATATCATGTTGGAAATGTGATCATTTCTCATAAGAGCGCTGTCAATTTCCTTTTTTCACTTTTTAATTTTTTTTTAATTACTGTGTTTTTAGTCCAAAATGATCACATTCCTCATGGGAAGTTTGTACCTGTACAGGACTCATCTTAGTGTTCTCTTCATGCCCTTCTCCTCCACACCCTCTCTCTCCATCTTTTGATCGCCTTCCCTTCCCTGTTTTCTATTATCAAGCTATGATTTTGCTCTTTGTGTATACTTTGTGTCTCTCACATATTTATCCGTGTCAGATTTATCTCATTTACAATGATGGTCTCAACATGGACCCTTTTCCCACAAATGAGACTATAGTGGAAATAGGGAAGTCATTGGAGACTCCATGAAAATATTATAGTTCAACAACAGGATTCAAAAATCTGTGAACGTAATAGTAACCTTGTCATACACACGATTAATGTGTACTAATGCATTATCATACACAGTACAATGGGTTTGGGTATTTATTCTATACACTTTTCAAATTGTGATTCTGTTATGTTGATTATAATGAATATATCATTTTATTTTACATTTTAGTCCTTTTATTAATTTGTTTCCATATATTGCCATTCTCCCTCAGATAAGATCTTCCTAAGAATTGATTTTTTAAAAATGCATTATTGGTTTTTTTATTAAACGAGAAAGAAGTTGTGATATTTTACAGATAGGCATGAACTTGTTCTTTCATATAAACTTGACTCTTATCACTACCACAGGAAACAGTTGATTCTTTATTAACTTTTTAATTTAAAAGACTATTTCTTTTATTAGAGATCTTAAGAAAACATCAAAATCATTGATTGTGGATTTTTGCAATATAAATCTCAATCATGGAAAAACTTCATTTTATAATTTCTCTCTAGATATAATTCTGTCCAATAATACAGGATGGAAGAAGATCTGATAAGGATAAGTGTAAGACAGGCAAGCAAAGCCTGACAATGCAATATATAACACTTTAGAACTCTCCGATGCTGCTAAATCTGAAAAATAATGTTTTTCATTAAATTGGATCACATCCTTATTTTCTTCTCTTCCATAATTAGCAAGTTTAATATTTTTGGTGTAAAATAAATTTTTCTTTGGCAGAGGTTTTTTAATGTACTTCTGCACTACATTACATGCCAGAGGAAAGAGAAAAGCATTTTCAATCTTTATTAGACAACTTCCCTGAACTCTAAAGACAGCAGCAGGAAACTGGATCATTTTATGGTTCATGTTACTCATAATTATAAATGAAGAAGCAAAGTAACTCCAAACAAGACTCCAAATAGCCACTTAATCATCGGGCAGAAACTAGTAAAGCCTGAACCACTTGATTTAATTGTTTAATCATTTCTTAGAGGTTGAATGGACATGGTACATCTCTATATTTTACTTAAGAGGCAATATTTATATTTAGTAGGATTGCATTTGTTCTGGATCTACATAACAAACTAGACAAATATTCACAAATTACTTTTTCTCATTTGGTTTGTTCAGTCTTACCCCATCTGAACAGAAATACAAGTGTAGAACAAACACAAAATGCCTTTCATTCCATTGCATTTGACATTAATCTCTACCTCCTGTTGTTTATTAAATGTTTAATTGAGCATCTCTGTGACATTCATCTGCTAAATGTATTTTGATTGCACTTTGCTTTGAAAGTATGTAATGTGTCATTTTTAATGATTAGCTGTATCATAATGTTAAATATTTATAGCAGTGAAGATTGACTATAGAATCATATCATAGATCTTATTCTTCTAAAGTGATGAAACTTTTCTGTCTAAGATATCATAATGTTATTATAGCCTTAGTGTGTTTATGGTATTTTTATAAGAAGATACTGGCTAGGGGCTGGGGATTTAGCTCAGCGGCAAAGCGCCTGCCTGGCAAAGCGCAAGGTCGTGAGTTCGGTTCCTGGTACCGGAGAAAAACCAAAAAAAAAAAACAAAAACAAGAAGATACTGGCTGGAATCCAATCATATTTTCAAAATAAAAGAACTATAAAAACATTTTGCTATGTATTATTTTAGTCTACTGTTATGACAGACATGAAAATGAAGACAAGTAGTCTGTGAACAAATTAATTATTAGAGTGAAAAGCTGAAGCACCACGGGAACCTTAATTAAGGACTGTCCTAGTCACTCTTTCCTACCACACACATCCGTCTTTAAACTTTAGCATGTACACAGGAGCCAAACAATGCTGTAGACTAATCCTGAATAGCTTTATCTTATGACTGAGTTCATGAGTCTTTTATGTTCTGAGAAATATATCTTCATGAAGGCATTCCAAATGTAACCAAACACACCACATCAACTTGGACAATTTTTGGTAATGGTTTAAATTATCCCTTCTGTGTATACTATAAATAGAAAAATGGAAATAACATGTTAAAGGTTATTAGAGTTCATAATTAAGAAACTAAGAAGCCTAAGAAGGAGAAATAATGTTATTTTTCCTATGTGAAGTAAGATTTTTAAAGATTTTAAAAGTTTCCTACTTCCTATGTGAAGTAAGATTTTTAAGATTTTTAAAATAAATACTATGCAATCTGAACACATGTATTTGAGATAAAGGTTAGGTTTTTTTTTTATTTCTATGGGACTATGATGTATAATGAGCAAATTCTGTGATTGTTAAAGAAAATATGAAGCATAATTATGCATTAAAACCAAAAAGCATAGATTTAACCAAGCTCAAATTTCCTTCTATTATGTGTGTGTGTGTGTGTGTGTGTGTGTGTGTGTGCGCGCGCTGTTTTGCAGGTCTGGCTGTGGATCACCTTACTGAGCGCATATACTGGGCTGACGTCGAGCTGTCCGTTATTGGAAGTGTTCTTTATGACGGTTCTGATTCAGTAGTCTCTGTCAGCAGCAAACAAGGTTGGTGCAGTGTTTGGTTTGGCTTTTAGCTATTGAGAGTATTAAATCATAACACATAAATATAAGTGTGAAAGCTATGAATTGTATATTTCCTTAAATTTGCCTTTCAACTTGCAGCTCTTACATTAATTAAAATTTTCACTTTTGTGAGAAAGACAAAAAGGCCAATGCAGAAAATCATCTTGACTTAGACAATCATGAGCCATATTTGCTAAGATTATGGAAAGAAAATCATTCTTTTATTCTCTAGTTATGCCATACTGAGCAGGCATATCAAGTGCTCAAGAACAAAACCCAAGACTATTAATTTTCATTTCCAACAGCAGGGATGCAAGCAGGAAAGGAAATATTGCATGTAGTAAAATGCCAAGTAACAGTCACTGGTATTGAAAGATATCTTCATTGAAGTGAAAGGCTGGTGTGAAAAGATGACAGTTTACCTCCACCATCACTGACCACAAATCTCACAGTGCTCTTCTGTTTCTGAACCCATTTTATTTCTACCTCTCTGTCCACTTCTTGTTTTATCTTACTCTCATTTTCTAACTCCCTTTCATGCCCAGGGAGCCTTTCCAGACTGTCAGCTTCTTCTGGTCAATGTTAATTCTTCCCTTTGTCTTTTTTTCTCTTCCTTCTCCCAATCCTAACATGTTTGTAATATAAACTCAGAGTTTTTATATCATAATATTATATTCAATGAATGTAGCTTTGCTTCCTGTTTTTAAAGAACACAGAAGTTGAAGAAACATAGTTAAATCAAGTTTTCATTGTGCCTTTCATACAGTATGTTTTTTGAATGTATGACCCAGGCTGGGGGGAAAAAAAAACTACATTCCTGAGAAGAAAGTGCACTACATTGTGATGCTGTGGGTGGAACACTCTGTAGACATCTACTAAGTCCGTCTATTCAAAAATCTGCTTCAGTGCGAATATGTCACTTTGGAATTTTTACCGAGCTGATCTCTTCATGATAGTGGCATATTGAGGTCCTTCATTACAACTGTTATTAGTGCTTATTTGATTTTTCATGTTGCGAGTATTTGTTTTATATAACCCTGTATTTATTTAAAATGAATTTTACTTCTTTCAATTTAAATATACATGTTACTATTGAAGAAACAATGAAGAAAAACACAGACATAAGTAAGTTTGTGTCTTAAAATTTCTGGATCATTAGAAAATATAATCATCTCACTTTTTACACATTTCAGTAGCAAAGTTACATTACATATTCCTTTGATTAAATGTCCTAAAATAATAGGCATCAAATGTGAAAATTTAAGGTCACTGTAATTTTCAGTCCATGCTGTCATGTGAAGGAGTGCCATTGCCAGTTTGTTTTTCTTTGGTTTTCCACATCTCATTAGTTGTAATAAATAACAGCTTTATTGAATCAAGTTAAAATACTATGCAATTTCCAAATCTACAATGTATGATTCAGCATATTGACGGAGTTGTACAACCATGACCACTATCATATTTTGACCATTTTTGCTGTCACCCCCTCTAAAAGGATAACCCCAGTCTACTAATGAGCTATCATCCCCCCATCCCTCCCCTCGGAATTTAGGCAACCACTGAACTACACTTTATCTTCATAGATTTTTTTCCTACTCTGGAAATGTATTTATTTTTCAAAATAGACCCTGTTTATATCAACAATAAAGACCATAACAAATTCAAAGAGATGGAAATCATGCAAAATGTGAGCTCTCCAACCATGCTGGACTAAAACTAGAAACCAACAGCATAACTTCTTTTCCTCTCTTTTTTCCTATTACCTATCTTTTACTTGACCTTTCTTTATACGTTAACTTTTTCATATAAGACAAAGAGTGCTATGTTCAATTTATGTGTTTGATTTACTTCACTTAATACTATAGGCCCAAGATACATACTTTTCCCTAAAGATGCTTCAAGGTTGTTTCTTTATAGCACAATATTACTCAGTGTATATGAATGCCAGACATTATTTATCCATTCATCTGTAAATATGCATATAGGCTATTTCTCATATTTAGCTGTAGTGAGCCGCACTGTTATAAACATTGGTATGTACCTATCACTATGGTATGAATTTTTAACTCTTTTGAGGTGCTAACTAAAAGGGGAAAAACTGAGTCAAATGAAATTTCTATTTTCATTTTTTTGAGAAATTTCTATACTGATTTCCACTGTGGTTGTATCAGTTTACACTCCCACCAACAATGAAAAAGTTCATTTCTCCCTACAGCCTCACCAGTATTTGTTATTTGTTCATTTCTTGATCATAGCCATTCTTTCTGGGATGAAATGGAGTCTTAATATTGTTTTAATTTGCATTTCTAGACTGATCAACAATGTTGAATATGTTTTCATGTATTTATTGGACAATTTTATATCTTCATGTGAGAAGTGTCTGTTTATTTTAGAAGTGGGTCTTTAAATTTGGGGCATCTAAGTTTTTTTTTTTTAGTTCTTTATAGATTGTAGATGTTAGTCCTTTATCTGAGTAGCTGGCCACATCTTTTCTGGTCTGTCAATTGTGTCTTCACTTTGTTGGTGATTACCTTTGATGTGCAAGAGATTTTTAAATTAATTTGATCCCATTTGTTGATTCTTGGTATTATTTCTTGTACAACCAGAGCTTTATTTAGAAAATCTTTGCCTACACCTCTTTCTTCAAGAGTTTTACCTATGTTCTCTTCCAGCACATTGTCTCTGTTCTAATGTAGAGTTCTTTGATTCATCTTAATTTTAGTTTAGTGTATGTTGATGAATATACATCTATGTTCAATCTTCAGCACATCGGTACATAGTTTTACCAGCATCACTTGTTAAGTAGTTATCCCTTCTCCAGCAGAGAAATTTGTCCTTTTTGTTGAACATCCCATAATAGAGTGTGCCTGGAGTGTTTATATTTTCCATTCTGTTCCAGTTATCAAGAAGTCTTTTTTTGCCGATACCATGCTGCTTTCATCACTGCAGCTTTGTAGCATAACTTCAGGTCCAAGATTGTGAAGCAGTCTGCCTTTCTCTTGGTGCCCAGAAATGGTTTTGTTCTTTGAGGTCTCTTCTATGGTTGTTAGGATTGCTTTCTCCATTTCCATAACAAATGTTATTGGTATTTTGATTGGAATTGCATTAAATCTATATAACCACTTTACAAGTATGACCATTTTAACTATATTAGTCCTGGCTATGCAGGAACAGGGGATGTGTTTCCATTTTTTGATGTCCTCTTAGACGTAGAGTTTTCCTTATAGAGCTGTTTCACTTCTGTCTTGGTTACTTTTCTCTCACTGCTGAGGCAAAATACCTGATGTCCAAAATTAAAGAAGGAAAGGTTTATTTAGCTTTCAGTCTCTGGAGGTTTCAGTTAATACTTAGCTGGCTCCAAGGCAGAGTGGCCTAGGACAGAGGGAACCATTCATGCCAGTGGGAAAACAGCAAAAGCAGCCTGAGCAAAAGGGAGGAGCAGCTGCAAGCAGCCTCTTTCCCTCCCTTACACATGCAAACCACCTGCCCCAGGGCCGGTGTAGCACTCACACCCATAATCACAGCGTTGGATCATGGATCAATCATAAGCTCTAAAAGCCCACCCCATCAACTGCATGAGGCTTTGTGCTAACATCCAGACACAAACCATAACAACTTCCTTGGTTAGGTTAGTTCCTAAGTCCATCCATCTATCTGTCTTTTATTCTCTCTTTCTTTCTTTCTTTCTTTCTTTCTTTCTTTCTTTCTTTCTTTCTTCTTTCTTTCTTTTTTTTCTTTTCTTTCAATAGTATTGTGGAAGGTATTGTTTCAATATTTATATTTTTCTATTTCTAAAATTAGTAATCATACTGACAAAATTATTTTAATTTATTTTTAAAAATTAACTCATAATTGCCTGTTAAACCAATCTAATTTGATTACTAATTTGATCTAGAAAATATTTTGAGAGCTTAATGAAGTACCTGAGTTTGCACTGCACATGAATTTATCCAGTATTTTGGCTTTTCTTCTGCTTTTCAATGTGTAGCAGAGGTTATCGGCACCTAATAACCCGCAGCATATGGTACGTTATTTTGAAAGTGATCAAGTCGATGGTGACATTGATTTCTGTGTTCTGAAGGGCATGTTAAGCATTTCTAATATCCCTACTGCCAAGAAAGGAATTCTAATAACTTTGCAGCTTAAGTTTTAAAACATTCCAATTCTAACTTTAAAAGCAGTAATAAGATTTTCTATATGATCTTTGATAAACTTTGTTTCTGAAGGTCTATAACACATATTACTTTATAATTGCAGGTTTGTTACACCCACATAGGATTGATATCTTTGAAGATTATATATATGGAGCAGGACCAAAAAATGGTGTATTTCGAGTACAAAAATTTGGCCATGGTTCAGTAGAGTACCTAGCTTTACATGTTGATAAGACAAAAGGCGTTTTAATATCTCATCGCTATAAACAACTAGAGTGTAAGTATTGTATTCTGTAAGGGTATCTATATTGGTAAATGACTGTCTGTACAATTCTTAAATGTATACATTTTTTCTATATCTTAACTATTTCTCTGTCTTAATCCATGTAAGTTGGTAAGCTTAGTTGTGATATCAACAAACTTTTCATATTATCAAAGTTATCATATCATGTCAATTACCAAAGTTATCATATCAATAATACAAATTTCCATTTCTGATATAATTATTATGTAAATTTTCTTTTCTTGGAACTACGTTTGACTTCATACCAAAAAAATTATCCATTATTTTGCTTTTCTAAAACTCTTAGTAAAACTTTGTGAAGTTGTAGATAAATGATGCAATTTTGAGTCTTGTTACTAAATGAAGTAACTACTATAACATTAACATTTATCTTAAAATTTTTTAAGAGAATTCTTCATAGAATTTGTATTTCCTCTGATTTATTAATATTACTCTTCCTTCTAGAAAGGAGTAGGTAAAAATATTGTATCATCAAAAATCATTGGAAAATATATTTCAAATATATTGAACAACTGGAGAAGCTGCATCACAATACAGTGCTTGCCCGATATGCTTGAGGTTCTGATTTCGATCCCTAGCACCTCAAAGCAAAAACAAAACATCAAACCACATCGAAGAAGAACGTAATAAAACTCAACAAAACAAAGTCATAACTGACATTCTAATTAATTGTGTATTGTTTCATCTTTCAAGAAATGGTTTAAGATTTATTTATAAAAGTAAATTTAAAAAGTAGAAGTAAATTGTACTGAACCATGATTTTTATGTTTGGTACAATCATGTGGAAAGATAGCAACTGATATTTATTCAAATAAATTTTTAAAATACATTAAAACAGTATATGTTTTTACGCCAGGCATGGTGGCACATGCCTGTAATCCCAACACTTGGGAGGCTGAGGCAGGAGGATCCTTGTGAGTTTGAGGTCAGCACGAGCTACAAAGTGAGCTCAAGGCCAGCCTGAACTGCATAGCAAGACCTTGTCTCAAAAAGACAAAAAAAAAAAAAAAAGTTTTTACAAATATGTCTTAAAATTTTCTGAAAATTCAGCTCTTTGCCAATAACCTGATGTATATGGTCTCAAGGTTAACACACCTCATCTCCTAGTTTTGTCTGACTCATGGACATAGTCCAGTGTTGCCAGATTCACAATAAATGAACATAAATAAATTTATCCCTGATCAGAGTGTAGAAGACATTTGAGAAACGGTTCTTGCAGAAAGTCACCTGTCACAGTCCCCAACTCAGCTAACTATAACATTCCTATATCACACAAATAAAATAATCCCTAGGGAGGGCTGTTAGTCATTTCTGACTAAAAATTATGTTAATTAGGTAGAAATTTGAGAATAAATATGTGTGGCAGCTATTTATAGATACATACTCCTTCCAGATGGGCCCTTTATGCATACTTACTCATTCCAGATGGAAAAGAACACAGTTAAAAACATTTTTAAAGGTCATATTTTGTGTTGTGAACTGACAAACATATATGGATATTAAACTTTTGAAAATACAACAGGGAAGTTATGTTTTACTTTTTAAAGTAGTACTCTGAATATCTAAACTAAAAGTAAGATTCTCGAAGGCATGAGTTGACTTTTCTTTTAAACACAGTACTATACTGTACACTAGGTTCTAAGACCACTGTTTTTTGAAAAACAAATTAGTCAAAAACGTGTGACAAAGTATGTAATTGAATAATTTCTCCTTTCTTTGAAAGCATAATTAAGAAATCCTTCTTATTAATGATGAATGCTGAGCAGTAATTTTTCTTCACTTGTAAAAGAAAATGATATCATTGAAATTAGATACTTTCTGTAAAAATAGATGTGATTTAACATTGCTAATTCAGTTTTTTGTTGATGAAACCTACTGTAACTATCCTTACACCCTTCTTTGTTTTCCTTTGTTTCATTTTCATCAGTACCTAACCCTTGCTTGGATTTAGCCTGTGAATTTCTCTGCTTGCTTAATCCTCTTGGGGCCACTTGTGTGTGCCCAGAAGGAAAATATTTGACTAATGGAAGCTGTAGTGATGAAAACCTCTCAGGTAAGTATTCTTCATTATTCTGTCAACAGTGAATTAATCCTTTGGATAAATTTTCACAACTATTTGAAAAAGAGCAGACTTCTCTGCTCCACTGTAAATTTTTTTAAAGGAAAAAAAATAGTGTTTTATTAACTACCACAATGTTACAATACACTTTAAACATACAATAAGGTAGCCTATAAATTTGAGGTGGCCTTTTTTTTTTTTTTTCTTTTTTCTTTTGGTACTGGGAATTGAACTCAGGACCTCGCACTTGCTAGGCAGGCAGTTGTGCCCCTGAATTATATCCCCAGCTCGAGGTGGTCTTAAAGATAACAAATAAACAAAATTCCAAATTTTTTAAATAGGTGAACTACTGCAGATATAGGTATGCATTTAAGAAAACTGTATAGCTCTTAAAAGACCAGCAATGTAACTTTATTTTGTACCTTTTTAAATTGAAAATATAAACAATAATTAAAAATAAAAAGAAAACACAGCATAATAAAAAACATGCATGTCTCAATTAAGTGTACTGGATACATACAAATTTTAAAGGAAGAAGCAAAAAAAAAAAAAGGAAAATGCTTGATGTTTAAGTGCACACTGACTCCCTAGACAAAAAAAAAGACTTAAAAAATATCATAAAACCTCTATTTTTCTCTGGTTAACATCCATATGGTTGGAGTACAGTCATAATGGAAGTGATTTTGTTATGTTTGCGTATGTTATACTTTACTGGTAATTTACATAATGGCTTTTAAGCCCCTGGTAGACGTAACAGTTGTTGGAAACAAGATTTGATAAAATCACTGCGAAGACACCGTATACCTTGTTTTTTGGTCCTCCAATATTCAAGAAAAGGGATAATTCTATTGTAAGTTTAAATGCCTTGGTATCAAGGATTCTTGAATGCCTGTGTGAACTGTGCTCTGAAGAATTCCTCTCTATTTGTTATTCTTTCGCATGCAAAGCAGCATTGAACAACATACACAGCAGACTGAGAATTTAGAAATTACTCACAATAAACATGTTTCATAGTTGTGCTGAAGAAGATAATCACATTTTTTAATAAGCCTCATTTTGCTGTGGGTTTAAAATCAGTATTCACATCTGTTTATTTATTGAATAAATTTATTTTGAACACTTTCTGTTTGTCAAACACTAGTGTAGAAACAAAGGGTTAGTTTATAAATTGTGTTTCAGTTTCTTTTTTTTTGTTTGTTTGTTTGTTTTGTTTGTTTTTCTGGTACCGGGAACCGAACTCAGGACTTTGCGCTTGCCAGGCAGGCACTGTGCCACTGAGCTAAATCCCCAGCCCCTGTGTTTCAGTTTCTTTTGTCTAGTTTATAGTTACAAAAAATATTTCTACTAAGAAAGAAAATAAATACGAGGACTATGAGGAAGACCTAGCATTAATTTCAAAGCTAAGGATTAATTTACAAATGAGTCTGATGAGACTCTTTCATGTGGTTTTCGTTTTTGGAATTAGTGTTTACAATAAACAATAAAATGATTGAGATCTAAGTAGTAAAGAGCAGAAAGTTAAAAATAAAATAAAAATACAAGCTGTGATAAGAAAGGGAAGAGACATCTCTTGAATATCCAAGTGCACTTACGAGAACTTTTCTTTCATATTTAAAATATTAGTCATAACTACAAAATGCTATTAAGCTGAAAGAAAAATCAATACCTACTCAGTTTAATTTCATAAACAAAAACTGTGTTCCAAGAATACTTGAGGATCACAGCAAACATTTTCCAGTGCGGTACAAGCGTTAAGTTCTCTTCAGCACGGAGTTCTCACCTGTTGCCTCTTCCATCTGGAATTCACTCCTCCCTTGAACATGTGTCTTTGTCCTCATTGAGGGCCTCCATTTCTGAGTAGTGAACTCTGCTCTCTGCTGAAGCCTACATGCAGTTTAAAGATTTTTCCCTTTTCCAAGGCAGTTTGTATCTAACAACTATCATAGTTTCACCATTTAATGTGTTCTTGAGCCATTAGGTAGGCCGAGCTATACAGATTAAAAGGAACTGATGAATGACATAAAAATGTGATTGATATTTATAGTGGATCAAACTGCAGAAGTGACAGTTAATACTTTCAAGGAGTCAAGTGATTATTTAATTACAGGATCAGTTTGAATTCCCTGTGTGATATGACTTTCAAACAGGATTTCCACATTCAAATTAGTTTTAGGTTCAATGAGATTAAAGAAAAAGGACTTTGACAGAGCAAAACTATCTGGAAAAGCAGCATGCAAACATATATTGAGTTATTCATTTCCATTAACTTGTAAGGTATGAAACATACCTTTGCAGGTGGCAATGTGGGAAAGCTTTTAATAGAGCGCTACCTGTGAGTCACGGCTGCTGGTCTGGATGGACACATTCGTGCCGATTATTTAACGGCTGCTGTCATGGTCATTCAGTTGTCTCTTTTCTTCACTAATTCTCTAACCAACCCCAGTAGCTGTGCTCTCAGCTGTAATAAGAGATTAGGAGGCCTGATATGGTGGTGCATGCTTGTAATTGGGAAGCTGAGGAAGGACTGCCATGAATTCAAGGTCAGCATGGGCTACATAGTGAGTTCAAAGCCAGCCTGAACTAGATAGTGAGGCTGTTTCAGAAAAAGAAAATAAAAGAGAGATAGTGAATGAATTGAATGCATATTTTCAAATATTGTCATTACTTGTTTGACTAGGTCATGAAGATACTCTATGCAGGAATATATATTTTCCTTCTCAAAAATATCAAGAACTTCTTTCTTGTTGAAAAATTGCTACTTATTCAATATTCCACTCACATCCATGCCCTGTGCCTTCACAGATACCCACAGGGCAGCATGTCTGCAGAAATGTTCAAATTAGTAGGTACTCATATACGGCTTAGTAATAAACAGCTCGCCCTACTGCTGTTAGAAACATAAGTCTATATACTTTAGGAAGTATTGGTTAGTGTAGACAAATGCCAGTTAATCTTTTTCTCATATGAAGTTTGATGTAAGCAAAATTTTCAACCTTTTATAATTGCTTTATTTTCTCTGGCTGTTATTGTTGAAAGAGTGCATTGAGTACTTTTAATCTTCATGTAAGAAATTTAAAATTCAAATCCTACTCTTAAGAGAAGTGTTCACCTGCTCTTTCTAATAGTTGATTGTAATTGCTAGAACTTGGAATCTTGTGGTGATTTAGTTATGGGCAAAAGCAACCCCCTTTTTCAGTATAGAGCTATACCTGGAAGTTCTAAAAGAGTATAACTCAACTCTATTTCATCAAGCACTATTACATTTTTAAAACTTTTGTGCTTCATGAAGTATGTTGTAGAAATATACATGCGTGAACACATAAGTATTTTGAACATCGCATCCTAATGAGGGCCATACTCTTTCAGTGTTTGTCTTCACTTTTCACATTCAAAGACCCCAGTCAGGGTATAGTTTGCTAAATGAGTTAAAAATATATTGGTATATTTTAAATAAACATATCTCCAGTGTAGATCATCTTTGTCAATCTGTTCTTTGCTGGAGATTCTCACATGCATTTGCATAGGCATCTTCAATTTAAAATGTTCGAAGCTGAACCACCTCTCTATTTCCTATTGTACTTAAGTTCTCACTTACTTGTCTGGAGTAGAAACTGAGGCATCACCGTTATTTTCCCTTACTGTCTTCATACATCATTGATCTGGTTTCTTACTTCACTAGTAACCCTTGGGATATTTCCACATTAGTTCATCCTACATTGCAATACTTTAGATGATTATCTACCTAGCCTGTATTACTTAACAAAGTCCTAATTGTCCTACTTTCAGTTTAATGCCTGTCAGTGCATTGATTCTCAGGTTTCTTTGGCTCTTGAGTATCTCTGCATTACCTGTGGAGCAAAGTACAGAATCCAATGATTCTTTTTATTGTCACTGTCTCATCAAGGATGCTTACCTCTTCCAATTCCTGCTTTCACACTCTCTGATCCATGTGCTAGTGCAGTGACATTCAGGCAGTCCCACCAGAACTCATCTTCTGGCATTAAGAAATATTATTTTATCTGAGTTCTACCCTCAATGTACCTGCAGGCATGCAGAAAACAATGCTGAAAGAGCATGTTGCTTATTTACCAAATAATTCCTTCAAGTGACTACTGAATTTTAGCCATATGCCTCATACGTCCAACCCTCAGCTCCTCATCTAACCTCTACTCTAGACATGGAAAATATAAGCTGGAAGTCACAATCTCTGTATGTAAGTATGTATGAGGTATACTTAGGTCCTTAAAATTTACAGCATTTTAGAACTTTAATTTATTAAAATTTATTTATTAAAATTTATTTTAATTAAAATTTATTTAAATTTATTAAAATTTATTAAAAACTTTTTTTAATATCACAAAAACCCAAATTAAACTGTATTTTTTTCACAGAGGTTGTTTACCTGTGAAGTAACTGAGATACAGGTAAACTAACTTGGATGCGTATTAAGAGGTAGAACTAGGGTTTATACAGGTTCTTATTATACCATTTTTATCTTATGTATGTTGCCTTATAAGCGGGTGCTTCATATTATAAATGCAAACTTGGTAATGCCAATCTAAAGCTTAAGTACATGCCAAAGAAATTACTGAGGTTGAAAAAGATGCTCTAATGATCATTGCAGTAATCCTTTTCCAGCATCTGCCATGCACGGACCAATGTATGTTGAATAGGGCATATAAGCTGTGCTTTTATCACCTAAGTTTACTATGTGATAGATACAAATTTAGCAGTGGGTATATCCTAGAAGGCTTTCAAAATACTGTCAATAATTTTTTTTCCATTCATCCTACCTAGAGTAATAGAAAGTTTTCTAATGAACGAAGGTCATGTACACACAGATAGCAACATAACCTGCACAATGACTCCAAACCAATTTTAATCATAAATCATACTATCTTGTTAAAGATAATTTTGCTACCTCCAAAAGATGACCATTTCTTATTCTCAGTCAAAATGTCATTAAGTAGGCAGATTGAACCTAAACATAGAGAGTGAATTTTATCTGTGGAAGTGTTTTTGATGTTGTTCTGTCATCTCCTTTTATCAAATTTAAATGACTTGGCATATTTTTGTATATTTAGTGTATATTGACATCAAAGATTGTCTCATCATTTGAACACTTCTCTATACTAATATACACATAGCATAGGTTCTTTGCCATTGGACATAACCATTTCTTTACAGTATATGCGAATATAAATGTATATAAGAAGAACATAAGATGTAATAGTATGTAAAGATAAATATAAATATTATAAATATATTACATATTTTATGTTTATTTGATATCAACTACTAAAGAATAGACAATGTTGTCATGTTATAAATAAAAATTTTTGCTTGGAAAATATATTACCTTCAGAAAGTCAGTTTTGTTAATTATTAAGATATACAGTAACATGTTAAAGAAATAATAATTTGATATTTGTAGTCACCATACAACAACTAGAATATATTTCCCTGTTTTCAGCAAGTATTTAATTATATTCAATTGTATGAGGATTAAGTTATTTTATGAAAAATTATAATTTCATGAAAAATGACTTTATGTAAATAATAGTTTTGTTACTGTATGAAAATTAACATTTTAGTATCTAAATATATTTATTTATCTTTATTCAACCACCCCCTGAAGGATATGCTAACCTGTATATTTCCTCTTACAACCAGATAATTCTTGCGAGATGACTTGTGAAAATGGAGGGCGATGCATTTTAAACGAGAAGGGTGACGTGAGGTGTCACTGTTGGCCGAGTTATTCAGGAGAACGCTGTGAGATCAACCACTGCAGCAACTACTGTCAAAACGGAGGGACTTGCACACCATCAGCTCTAGGTAAATACTGGAGTGTCATTGCATATTCAGATCATTTGTTTATTTTCTTCTATATGAAAAGGTAACCCTTAGTGTCACAAATATAATATTTATATTTTGAAAATGAATAAATTAACACAAAATAAACAATTCAACCTAAGCAATGGCGTTTGCAATAAATTCAGTGTATCATAATTCAGGTTACAAAATTTAACAACAGTAATGGATATTACAAAGTATTGAGTTTCTACAAGGTAACAAATTTATGCTGATAGATATTTTGACCCAGGGCATGGATAGAATGATGGATAGTGCCAGTGTTCCAAAACTTATGTGCTAATTTCAAATTCAGTGACTTTTACTGAATAGTTTTCCTAAACATAGAAATCAATTGTTATTGAAAACTGGGCTCCATTTAAACATAAATAAAATATATAAAAAATTATTTTACCATCCTGACTACCTTCTAAAATTATAAGTAGTGTAGGCATTGCAAAACATCTTATATAATATGCTTTGAAAATACCCAATTACTACTTGTTAGTACATACTATACTTGAGATTGTTGTTAATTTATGCAACAGAAATGTTTGCAAAAGTGTTCACTATGCCACATTACTGAACATTGAACATATTTTCCTATTGATTTTTATTAAATTTAAAATATGTTCCCATGAGAAAAAAAAACAACCTGAATGCATAATAAAATCTAATTTGCAAATTCCAATATTCAGTACCAGGGACATTATGCAGCTATTAAAGTGCAATCTATGCACATTTAATTTTACTACCGCAAATGCAAATTTAGTCAGATGGAAAATCAATCTATATGATCCTCATATTCCCTACATGGTTAATTTATATCTTACTGGGAGTTTTCACTGTCTCTGTTGCTTATGGTTCTCTTTGAAGTGTTTAGCATAGTGCAAACCTGAAGACTCAGAAAAGGGAGAATTTTCAGTGGAATATAGAAAACCCAAGCTGTTTTAAATTTGAATCCTTTTAGTAAAATCATGATAGTTTTATGCCTGTAAATATATTTGACTGACGATTAACTGATATTTAAAATATTCTAAGTATTTCATTATATTCTGTAAAGAATATTTAGCAGGAAAATTGAAATATAAACGCACTAGGATTCTTAACCTGTATTTTTACTTTGCTTAAGGGAAGCTAGTCCATGCAGTAGGGATATTCTATTGTTGTGGAAGATATAATAGTATGATCCTCTACTGAACAGGCAAGTGAAAATACAGATTCAATGAATGCTTGTGTGATTTGCGTTTTATTTATTTATTTGTACTGAGAATTGAACTCAGGACTTTGCACTTGCCAGGCAGCCACTAGTTCCACTGAGCTCTGTCCCTGGCCCATGATTTGCATGTTATTAGTAAAGATACTGTTTCTTGTAGGGAAGAAACATTTTCTGACAAATTAGTTATTTGAAGGTTTAATGGCTTAATTGGTAGCAATTTCTCATTAACACAATAAAAATCATTGGGTTATAGCTATGTGATTTCCTTATATTTAGATATATTTAGGTGAAGTAAATCATTTGACATTCCAAATGATAGCAGTGTGTTCAAACTGCAAAGGATTTACAGGGACACATCTCTAAAATTTGCTGTGCTGTTCATGGAGTCTACATTGTATATAGGTATAGCACAACTCCCAATGTTATGTTCAAATAGCTGTCCTGACCTTGGTGCATTCTTAAAATCCATAGTATGTTAGCTTTATATACCCGAATATTTAGATCTTGATTTCCATAGATTATACATAGAAGAAAATGAGGTCTCCTATGAATTCAACCAGGGATATGACCACTTAGTTTTTCTTATAGAATCTCATAATTAATCATGTGTTATCCAATTAAGTCATTTACAAAGTACTTTTCACTTTTAAAAATGTGGTTTAAAAAAAGTTGTTTGTTACCATAGACTGTAGAACCTCATTATCTCCACACAGATGTTAATTTGTTAAACAAATCCCAGTGGGCAGTTCATGGATTTATTCATTGTTGGTTTACTTACAGTTAAGCCTTTTGGCAAATTCCTATGTGGACACCATATAACTAGGGTCTGGGGCAGCCTTAATTATAGTTTATAAGTTTATGACAGTTGAACAGAACAATAATAATTGAACAAAGAAAATGTCACCAGTTAATTAAAAGCACACATCTGAGAGACGTAATTAAAATTCTGTGTGTAGGGATGAGTTTTTATTCCTAAGAGCTTTTTTAAAAAATAATGAACACTAAAAACAAAATATATGAGCTCTGTTTATATAGGAAGATACAACATAATGAAATATTTTGACATTGATTATGCCAATGATGGTCTATATAATTCATCTCTATGACTTCCTCATCAAAAGACATGTTTATGATCAAATTTGTCTTGGGGAAAAGTAATAGAGGTCAGAGTAAAACATAGTACTATACATTCTATTATTGAAAAAAGAAAAAAATTTAGGAAAGTTTTTATGCATCATAGATGTCAAGATATGTATGTAATTATATTTGCAAGTAGTGCCACGTTGTGAACATTTATTCTCTAAGGTATGTTCATACTGCCTGGTATTTTCTTTACACATATGGGTCTGCATTTAGACTTTTCATGTTTCTGTCAAAATGAATCAGGGCTTCAGATGCAGTTGGTTTAGAGGAATGGACCAAGAAGAATTGCGAATTTGGGATAACAAACACAAACACTACCACTCCTAAAGCTTGGAATTAGGCAGAAGGGAAAACACATGTCACTTTTAAAAGTGTGAAACAAAGGCAGACTGGCTAGGCTAAGAGGTGACAGTAGTTTTGGATAGTAGGAACACAATGAATTTTTATTGGATAATTGAAGTGAATGTAACAGGAAGCAAGCAGAGGCTCTTTTGGTAGACCTCTGTGCCTACATCTCTAGGGACTTTTCACACTCAATGATTTTTCTCAGAAGTGAAGCAGGAGTGTGAAAGAGGCCCCTGTGGTGGAAAGATTTCAAAATCTCTGCAATGGGATGGACTTTTACAGTATGAGACAGATCGATGGAGAAAATTTCATTGTTTCTATTAGGATCTTTCTGCCCAAGCAACTACCCATATCAGCTGGCACATTTGATCAAAGAACTTGTGTATAACTTCAGAGCACCATGGAAATGGTGACAAAACACATGTACATAAAGCTCTAAAATTACCAATTTACTTAGAATGTAAAGCACATAATCAACCCAGTTATAGCTCTATAAAGAGTGAATCTACTTTTAACCTTCCAATCTTTTCTTTTCACTTCTATTTAAAAAAGGGCTGTTTTTCAGGTAAATTATGTTGGATATTCTCACTACTCAACATAGATATTAATTACACTTAGGAAGTACTGGAAGCAAATATTTAGTTTTTTTTTAAGAGTTCAAGGAAATAACTAATGATGTTCAATTAAAAACAAAACGTAGTATATAATTTAACATGTAAGTACATTTAGAATACGTAACTCTGAAAATCAAGCAGAAAAAATTAAAGCGTAATGAGAAAATGGGAAACAGCAAGCCTGACACCTTCGGAGTCGGAGAAGCAGGCAATAGGAGCCTCTTCCCTGTAAGATAAAATCAGCATTCTCAAATTAGTTCTAGAAAAAGACGTTAAGGGTGCAAACCTTTCAGCCAACAATGTTTAAAAATTTGTTAATGTTTTTTTAATGTATCAATCTTCTTTGCCTTAATAATGTCACTTTTAGAGATATCTCCCAAGGGTTCAAAAAAAAAAAAAAAAAGGAAAGAAAGAAGAAAATATAGAGGTAAAAGTGTTAGTTTTGTTTCAAATCATCTAATATTGAGGAAAACCCTAAATTCATATCCTAAATATATAAGATATTGGATGTATAAAAGATAAACATATTTAAATACAATCACAATCATAGAATATTTGATAGTATAGAAAAATGTTTACATTGTACTTTAAAATAAAAAAGAACAATACATAAAATATATATACTATGAGCTCTATGGGGACAATTTCATATATAAAATTTCTATATCAAGAATGCTTCTTATTTTTCTATATTATAGAAAATCCCATATTAATAAGTATTACTATTATTATAAAAGTGAAAATAATAACTGTTACTATAAATTAAAATAGCAATAATTGTTACCCTTGCAATCATGATAACATATACTGGCTTTTTATTAAGTGCCAGACTTGTTCTCTATCATAGACTCCTCACAGCAAATGTTTGAAAGAGTAAATATAAGGTCTCTCTAATTCTCCTGCTGGCTTCATGAGTCACACTTACTGGTTTGTTTGCACCACATGGTGAGAGGATACTAAATTATTCAGTCTTATAACTCTCTAGGCTAATGTCACAAGGCTGTGTGAGCTTACTTGTATTCTCAGAAGATATGAAAATGCTTCAACCTCATTTCCACCATGCTGACTGAAAATGAACTTCTCAGAAGTATAAATAGATTGTGACCAATAACTTGAAGCATGTCAGGATATATTAAACAGTACCTGGGAGACAACTCAACTCGATAAAAGCCCACAATTCCTCCCCGACTTTGTCAGTCTTTGCTGAATAGTTTGCTCTAATCTTTGTGAAACTGAAGACAATTTGACAGCTGTAATCAACTTTCTAAAACTGGGTATAAATGTGTACTCACTTTCGGTTCAGGAAATTATTCTATTAAGCGAAAGAGCAGAATGTCAAATTTTCTTACCAAAGAACTAGCAATTTTTTAAAAGTATTCAGAACTTTTATTATTTGGGATCTATGTCTGAAGTCAAGGCAGATTTCACAAAGGAGAGTAGTCACAGAATGAGATATCAGGAGAGGGAATTTGTGATTGCAATTTTATAAGTAACTGATGCTTTGGGGATATGACTACAGTTTATTATCTCTATTCTGCACAAAGGGATACAAATACATTTATTGTTCAAATAATAAGCGTGTTGTAAGAATTATGTCACATATAGATGGTGCTTTCATGGAATATTAAACACTAACATTCAAAAATATGTGCCAAGGGGTATAT